TTGTGAAATATTACAAATTAAAATAACCGTTTTCTATTTTAATATTTGTTCAAATGTGATTTATTCCAGTGGTGCAAAGCTGAATTTCAGCATAATTTCTCCACTCTTCAGAAATCATTCTAATATGCTGATTTTATGCTCAAGAAACATTTCTCATTATCAATAGTGGTTGACCGACAGTGATTTTTTTTTTGATGGCCAATTTATATAATATCACACTATTTAACTTAAAGGAGTAGTTCACTTTTAAAAAAACTTTTACTGATAATTTACTCACCCCCATGTCATCCAAGATGTCCACATCTTTCTTTCTTCAGTTGAAAAGAAATTAAGGTTTTTGATGAAAACATTCCAGGATTTTCTCCATATAATGGACTTCATTGGGAACCAAACAGTTCAAGGTCCAAATGAGGGTTTCAGTGGAGATTCAAAGGGCGACGCCAGACGATGAATAAGTGTCTTATCTAGGACCCTTCGAGTCATGACTCGAAAAAAGATTTGTTCATTTTGATGAACGAGTTTGAGAGTCACGAACGCTCATCACAGAACAGAGCAAGGCGAGCATTTGTGCTGATAAAACTTAAACTTTTTTATTTATTTTTGAAACGACCGATCGTTTCACTAGATAAGACCCTTATTCATCGTCTGATGTCGCTTAAAGCTGCACTGAAACTCTCATTTGGACCTTGAACCATTTGGTTCCCATTGAAGTTCAATATATGGAGAAAATCCTGGAATGTTTTCATCAAAAACCTTAATTTCTTTTCGACTGAAGAAAGAAAGACATGGACATCTTGGATGACATGGGGGTGAGCAAATTATCAGCAAAAGTTCTTTTTTTTTAAGTGAACTACTTTAAAAACACTATAGCAGATAGTAAAAACACATAACAATTGCTGAAATGAAATTGTATTATACTATTTTGTTCAAAAAGAACATTTACTTGAAATAGATAACCTTTGTAACACTATCAAATTATAAACTATTTCATGAATCCTTGATTAAAGGTACAATATGCAGGATTTTTGGCCACCAGGGGTCGCTGACCTCTTACAATAACAAAGGCGTATATTAATGACGTATATTCCACATCAAGTGGAATTATGGATCTTGTTGTCAAGCTGATGGATCTTTAATGGATGAGTGAATACAGTGATGTTTTTATCATGAGTCTGTGGTGTGAAGCAGGGCGCGAATGCTAATGAGAGACAGATACCAGTGCCACACGCGATGCGAGTCCCGCGGATATAAAGGAGTAAGGACATTTCATTCTACCGAACTACACGCTGAATTACTCACACAGGTCAGTTTAATAGACAAATTAAACTTGAGGTAACACCATCAGTTACACCATCACACTAACTCAACATTAGAGATAACAAACATATAATATTCTAACATTTCATTATGTTGAACTAAAACACATTGATAAGTTTTACGTACATTTGCTCGCCTGTCTAAAAACGTACATGCAACACTCTCTGTCTCTGTCAAGTCGAAGTTAGTTACGGACGTGGAGCTCTCGGCATCTCGAAAGATGTTGATCTTCGTTTTAGTCCTCTTTTTGTCTCAAAGTCTGCTTGCCATGGTCCATAATATTTGAACAAAACAACAACAACAACGCGAGCATCCTTCTAGGCATAACGCGCATTACCGACATTACCCAGTTGTCAACGTCTGTCGCCATGGTTACTGTAGTAGTACGAGTTCAAACCTGGCAGGAACCAGGATAACGAGGATATGACGCCATTGACTGGCTGCTCATACGTCCCGTTTCCTTGGTTAAAATCACGATTTGCTCACGATTTACAAATAGTAGGAAACATTTTGGAATATTGTAAGTAATCAACTAAAAAATATATATATATATAACATTGGCCTAGTGGTTTTAGGATATTTTACTGCAAAAATCCTGCATATTGTACCTTTAATAAAAGTATGCATTTCTTTAATAATAATAAAAAAGTTAAAGTATGGTTTTCCCAAAGTCCCAAACTGCAATCATGAGTTGATGAAAAACTATTAATTTCTAAAAAAATGACTAATTTAATGAAAATAAATCATTTAAAAATAAAACACTTACTAAAAGATAAAATATATTATTAGTTTTTGCCTGCATGTCATGTGAGCATTATGCAACATTAGAGAACTTGTGAACATGCAATTGTGTTGTTAAATTACAGAAATATTAATAATATCTCAGAGAATACATATGTATTTTTTTATATGAAATATTTTGCATCAAAAAGGTTTTTGTGGGAAGTTTTTTTTTCTTCTAAAACAAGACATGACAACAAAAACTACTACACTGCGCTATTCCAACCTAACCCTTGAGAAGAAAGAAATGAGAAATGCACACTAACCCATCTCTAACTCCTCCTGGTCCTTCGGTTCTTCCTCCGCCTCAGGCACAACTAGAGGACACAATCAAACAGCACAGTTCATCACTACACATCCTCTCCAGCACGCCAGCATTTCCTGAGGAGTCACGAGTGGACACACACCGGGCTTCTCCATGGACTGAGGGATCAGGCCGCTCTTGTCTTTGATGGGCAGCAGGTGAATGAGTTCCTTCTCCTGCTGCTGCTGCTGCATCTTCCTGGGCATCTTCTCATACTTCTCCACCGGCTGCTCGGACTTCCGCTTTTTGGCATGAACTGGAGCACTACAAGTTTTCAAAAAAGAAAAAGAGCAGGAGAGAAGATGATCACAACAGGCACTGTGTTCTTAGTCTATGAAGAAAGAAACATCAGAAGATTTGATGTTTTAAAGACCTTGATGAGATGTCTCGAGTCAGAAAGGAAGCTTTGTGTGCCATGGCTTTGATCTGCTCGAGGTCCTCCTCATCCATCATGTCAGTGGGCAGAGACTCCAGGAACTCCTCCTCCTCTTCTTCATCCTCTGGTGTCATACATCATCATTACAACACTGAGCAGGAGTTAATGGAAATCATCAGAAAGCAGTGTCGTGTTTCACCTGGTCTCTTCTTGTAGCGCTCCAGGGGTTTGAGGGTCTGATGGGAAACATCAGTGATGGCCTGCCGAAGTTTACGCTGCTCTTTGCGCTGCTTCTTAGCTGAGCTCTGTTGCTTAAACTGTCGATTCTTCTGTTTGTTTTCTAGCTTCAGATTGCTGGTTTTCAGCAACTTTCTGAAGCTAGGCCTCTTTTTCTTGTTCTTTTTGGAAGCCTTGTGTGAAAGATGCATTAAAGCACAGTTAAATAATGCATGCTGGTGTACGTTAAAATTAACATTAGACACAAGTTGTTTATACATATAACAGATGAAACTAAACAGGCTGACTTGTGTAGTAAAATATTCCAAAAAAGAGTTTTGACTTACATAGCGTATTACAATATAATGGCAAGGTTAACCAGTCATGCATTGACTATTGAATATCTACAAATCAGATATGATGCAGAAAAAAAAAAACAGCGATGAAGGGTTAAACTCTAAACATCAAGAGTGTAAAACAGACACATATGGACTGGTGTGACTAAAACAGAGTACCAAATAAAGAGTTTGGAAACATTACTATTTTAATGTTCTTGAAATCAAGCCAGCATTTATTTAATCAAATACAGAAAATTTTGAAATATTAATAAAATTATAAATAATTCTATTTTATTATACTTTAAAAAAATATATTTATTCCTGTGATGCAAAGCTTAATTTTCATCAGCCATTTCTCCAGTCATCAATGTCACATGATCCTTCAGAAATCATAATAATATGATGATTTATTATAAATGTTGGGAAAAGTTGAGCTGCTAAATATTTTTTTTTTGATACTTTTAAAAGATTTTATCGGAGGTTCCAATATATGTATATGTATGTGTGTGTGTGTGTGTGTGTGTGTGTGTGTGTATATATATATCAAAAGAATCCTGAAAAAAACTATCACAGATTGACAAAAAATATTAAGCAGCACAACCGTTTCCAACATAAATCAAAATCATATTAGCATGATTTCTGAAGGATCACACTGGATGACACTGTTGAGTATCTTAAAATACAAAGCCATTATTTTACATTGTAATAATATTTCACATCACAACATTACTGTTCTAACTGTATTTTTGATAAAATAAATGCAGACATGATGAACATAAGAGACTTCTTTCAAAAACATTAAAAATAGAAATGTTTGACTTGTACTGTATCTGTGTGTGTGTGTGTGTGTGTGTGTGTGTATGATACAGTATGGGGTTGAGAGCAGTAACTTATACTTATATGATCTGATACACCAGGTGTTTCGTACAACACAATAGAGTAGTAAAACTAATCTAGTAAGTATGATGAAAAGTGTCGTTTGATATGATCCTGTAGGGACTACCCTGATACAGTAGACGTTAGGTTAGTATTGCATATAGTTTTCACTAGAATAATATTTGATAAACAAGGGGTGTTTAATCTAAAACGTCACTCTTACACGCTGAATTAAATGTAAACTAAAGCGTTTCACTGAAGATCAGCAATATGACGAACAGCAGCGGGTGTTTTTAAACTCAATAGCGCGTTAGTTAGTGTTACAATTACAAAATAACTTACCGGGCCCATTTTGATGAGTGATTCGCCTCAACTATCAATGACGTTTCAAATGTGGTAAACCAGTTTAAGTTAATCCAGAAAAGAATTCATGTATCCACTCTTTACACATGCACCACATGGACCGGAAGTAAACCAAGGGAGATCTTCGATGAATGCAGGTACAAACGTCACGCTGCCTTCGAGCGCCACCTGGTGATGTGGGTGAACGGATACGATGTGAACACGCGTTTATTTTATTTTTTTACAGTCTATTGTTTATAGATGTTATTTTCTTGCTTTCATAGATGCTTTTACACAATTATTTGTAAAGCAGCTGAATTTTTCCTCTAAATTAATTTCAGTAGATATTATATACCCCCTAAATTCAATACAACTTTTAATTTGCTTTTGTACATTTCAGTGTTTATCATTTCACAGTGATGACACTGAATAAAAAACACAACAACTACAATTGTAGTTTTAGATTTATTTACACATTTGAATTTTGTGGTGTCAAATATTTCACCTATTTACAATTTATCTTCACTCGAGTATGAAAACTGTACAATAAAACAAGGAGTGTGTAGAAAACAAACCAAGAATTAATGATACAATTTACATTTTTCATCAAAATACATCACCAAATCGAAAAATGTTTAGAGACCCAATATTTACAGATATTAGGGGTAAACGCCACATTAAACAATGCATTTCGCCAAGTTATTAAACCGAAATAAAGCACAAAAATGACTCAAGTTTGATTATTATACCACACATTCTTATTCTTTAAGTGGCAAGTGTCAGAAAATGTACATTAAGCACACAAATGTCTGAATGTATTATTCACATCGAGCTTGTGGGGTCAACTGTCACACTGACAAGAATAAGATTTAGTTTTAAAATTAGGCTACATATTAGTGTTTTAAAAGAAGAACAATGGGATGTCGACTTCCAAAATGCAATAATGCTTCTGAATACCTTACACACTAGATGCAGCATATCTGCATTATTAACTGCATCTGACTGATTTGTACAATTTCTATTGCACTTCATTATGGTCTTGTTCTACAAAACAAAACCATTTAAAAAAAAAAAAAAAAAGAACCTCAGAACCTCTATTCTATAAATCTCAATTGCATTGAACAGGCTCCAAATGCATCTCCTTCAAAACAAACTTCAGCATAGAAAAAGTGAGTGGTGTGTATGTCAGCACAGTTGTTCAAATGCACCACATGATTCCTCTCAATAAGGAGGAATATTAAAAAAAAGCCTGATGCTGGTGGTATCTGGTACAGTACATGACTAAGCTGGTGGAGTAGTTTCTCATTAAAGGCTTATATTTTGAATTCATACAAAGTTTTGCTTCCGTAATACTGGCATGGTTACGAAGGAATCAAGTTTAGCTTTTTCTTCACATTGCATTGACCTCTATGAACCCCAGTTTTATACAATCCTCTCTGCCAATCCATTCATTTGAGGAACATAACAGAAATATAAAATTGTAGAGGAAAGAGTTCAAGAATTTCTCACTGAAGGACTGCTGCTTTTTTCCATTTCTTTATCCTTTATGAGGGCATTAAACACCTGATAAAGAGAAAAAGAACGCATGTTATGAGGTATACGCCACACAAATCGACAAATAAAAACTCCCTGCAGGTGGAGCTATACTCATCATCATGAAGGGTTATAAAATAGAACAGTTTCCTCAAAAAAACTTCACACAGATTCATTTTACTAGATATCTATTAATAGAGGTTATGCAAAACAATATTTGAAGAGAGCAAAATATAGCCAGGACCATATTTGCATTTCATTTCCTGTTTGCATTTCCCTCACAAAGAAATTCCACTGGTTAAATGTTGGCTGTAGCGGCTCAGACAGGAACTGACCTGTGTCCACTTCCTGTTGCAGCTGATCATCTGAGTGTTGGCGATGCAGCTGAAGAGGCGTTCGGGGGGCGTGTCCTCCGGGAGTCTGGTCAGGAACTGAGCGATGTGAATGAAATCCATCTGCAGGAGCACTTCCTCGTAGAGCCGCAGGATCCCGAGGCCCGTGCGGAACAGGAACTCCTCCCCGTCTCTGCAGAACACATCCCACACCCGACATGCCACATCTAACGGCAGGGACTTAGTGTAGAGGGTGAAGATCCTGGAAACACAACGCATTCAGGTGTTTTGTTTAGCCTTCATGATCACAAATAGGACTTTGGATGGAAGACAGAATCAGACTCTAGTCCTAAACAACATACACTTACAAGGGGTATGAGATATATGTATCGTCTACATCGTTGTTCTATTTTATTTTATTATTTATATGATTTTATTCACGCTGCTAGGCAGTTTGGATGCTGCTTCTGTGCTACTTCTGTATTCCAAACATGCATTTTGTTGATAGTGATTTCATTTAATTGGTAAAAGGCTAGAAAAAAGTTGTATTATTCTAATTGAATCTATTAATTAAAAGCATGCATCACATTTTATGTCAAATTCTTACTTCTAATAAGGTCAGAAAAAATTGCTTCCTTATAAAATGACAAAAATGCCTCAGGAAATCAATTGAATAAACTTGTCAATATCACACACCCCATTGAATACTCACACATACACATGTACACATCAAGCTTAGTTTTTAGACAAGACTCGTTTTCCTACATCAGAAGATTCTTCAAGGACTCACCAGTCTATCAGATACAGGTCAGGTGTGAGGTTGTAACCGTTGAAGTGATTAAAAAGCCTGGGGAGGTTTTCTTCAAAGAACACCTCAAACGCTGCAAAGTACTTCAGCATCTAATCAAAAAAGAGACACAAAATTCAAATTTAGGTATGTGTGAAAACCCCCTTAAACAATCCACCCCAAAACTAAACTCTATGGACATTAACAAGCTGTTGTTTGTTTTACAAAATAATTGTCGTGTCCCTCAGTTTAAAATCTTTAAAGCAAAAAAAAAAAGATGCTGTCGACTTGGCTTGTTTTGAACCAAGAACATTCCTTCACAACAAAATGTAAATAATCTGATCTATGAAACGTTGCAGTACCAGCTCGTGGTCCACTCTGAAGAACGCCATCTGACAGGGTTTGTTGAGGAGATTGGCAAATGCGATGAAAGCGTCGGCCTCCTCCAGGTTGAGAATCAGCACAGCCGCTATGAAGGACATGCCCTGAACCTGCACACAACATTAAGTCATTTCACAGCCGCCCTTATCATCGTCTAATGGCTTTCATGAGGACGGCTATTTGAATGAAGTGCTGGATTGAACTCTAGCAACTCCGAATTCAATATACAACTGTTTTATTACGTCACATATTTAGAAACGTCACAACAACTCGCTTACAGTCATAGTTTTGCCCATCTACACGACCGATCAAATGTTTGGGGACAGTAAAAAAAAATAACTTTGAATTTTGTATTTAATATTTTTTACATTTTTTAAATTATTGTATTTAAATTCTGTATTAATACTTCTATTCAGCAAGGATGATTTGAATATATATATATATATATATACACACACACACACACACACACACACACACACACACACACACACACACACACACACACACACACACACACACACACACACACACAAATCATTCTTGGTCAACCACTATTTATAATAAGAAATGTTTCTCGAGCAGTAAATCAGGACATTTGAATGAATTCTGAAGGATCATGTGACACTGAAGACTGGAGTAATGATGCTTAAAATTCAACTTTGCATTACAGCAATAAATTACATTTTTAAAATATATTCAAATAGAAAACAGTCATTTTAAATTGTAATAATATTTCACAATATAACTGTTTTTACTGCATTTTCAATCAAAAAATGCAGCCATGGGAGCAGAAGAGACTTCTTTAAAAAAATAACAGACTTCTTAAAAAAAAAAAAAAAACTCCAACCAATCCCAAACTTTTAAACGATGTGTTTAAACATTAAACAGAGCTGGTGTTTTTCATATGCAGATGAGAGGCAGTAGAGGAACACAAAAAGATCTTTGTAAGTATTGTGCTGGTGATCACTCACATATCCCACGTCAGGTCTGTAGCAGGTGTAAGCGCCCAACACGCTGTGTAGGAGATCATGGTACGGCCCACCCTAGCAGACGACAGCCCAACATGAGTCACATTCATTCCTTACTGTAATGCTGATTGTAATTACTGTAGAGTTACAGTTAAACTGATACCATAACAACGGTGACAGTAAGAGTGCGAACAATACCTTCTGGAAGATGAAGAGCGATGGAAATGTGCGCGATATGTCCAGTTTGATCAGATCCAGACTGGACTCACGGTCGGCACTGTCCACTGTAACAAACACAATCACATAATCAAGGCCGACTCCAATACACGTTTAATATAGTGTCCTTTTACATTTTTCAAAATATATTTAAATTTTATGTGAAAATATCACTCTCGCACTGTACTCCCTATTTTAATGCACTTTAGACATTGCACATAACACACACAAGAAAAAAAAAAAGAGAGAAAAATAGGAAAAGATAGGGACGGATGAGATTTGGGGGAAGGTTATCTTATATTATATTATCTTATTATCATATTTTATTTTATACAAGATTTGACAATGGCAATTGTTACATAGGAGGAAGGATGGAAATAAAAATCTACCAACACAATATTGGCACTTAAATCACTCTTGTCACTGCTGGAATTATGGATTTACAAGATTGCTCACTACTGCACTATGTTGGTTTGTTTGTATGTATGTCTGACTGTTAAATAAAAAAAGAAAAAAAGAAAATTTAAAAAAAGAAAATTTCACGTTATATCTAAAGACTTTCAATATGGTGAAAGATTATGCCCTAATATTATTGAACTTAGACTACCGGTCAAATGTTTGGAAAAATTATGACTTTTTGGTCTCTTCTGCTTATCAAGACTGCATTTGTTTGATCGAAAATACAGTAATATTGTAAAATATTCTTCAATTTAAAGCAACTTATTTCTATTGGAATATATTTTAAAATGTAATTTATTCCTGTGATGCAAAGCTCAGCATGATGAATTTTCAGCATCATTAATCTTCATTGTCACATGATCCTTCACAAATAGATTTAATAGGTTGACATTTCTTATTTTTTATTTTCAATGTTGATTATTTTTTATCAAAAATAAATTAATACTTTTATTCAGCAATGTTGCATTGAATTGGTCAAAAATGAGACTAAAGACATTGGTAATGAAGTGTCTATTTATCAAAGCATCCTAAAAAAATGTTAATTGAGCAGAAAATCAGCCTATTAAAGTGATAAGGACCAGCATAAGAGCCTTTAAAAAGACATTTGACTGGTAGTGTATATCTATAGCACATCGCTATCAGCCTGTGATTTCCTACAGTATGTTCCTGGCAGTGGATACAGCCTCATCTGGTGTTTGTTAGTCCCAGAGGATCTGCTCGAGTGTACTGCTGGAAGCTAACAGGCAGGGTGTTGTGATGAGGGTCACATGTGTGAACGGGAGGATGTGTTTGTGTTCAAACTGTATGAAGAACCAGCTTTATTAACAGATTTAATATGGAACATCAAAGGAGGAAGTGCTCAGGCTAATTAAACATAATTTTATAGTGTTCACAAGCTGGAAGGCCAAGTGGAAAACAAAACAAAAACATGAATTAACTGTTATTAGTGAGTCTGTGCTTGCAGCACAGGAAGGAAATAACCACCGCTTCAATAAAATGAGCAGAAAGGAGACTGGGGAGAACTGGAAGACACTCGCATAGAGACACATAGCACTGTTGCACTTCCTGACCAATGAATTTCCATGACTTTTTCAAGAACTTTCCAATTTAAGTTTACTGCATAGGCATAGTGGACTCCAATTCAAAATCAAAGTTGATTCACTGAACCTAAAATCCTTTCAAATTCCGTCTGTTTCAATAATGAATTATTCAGACCGAATTTTGAATTGATTCAACTGATTCTGAAGTAAATTGCTAAGAACATATTCAAATTCTGATTGATTCACTAATGAATCATGCAGACCAAATTACAAATGAGTTCAACTGATTCACTGATTTAGTTCAAATTGTTGTCAGTTTGCAATTACTGGGTATAGACCATTTTGCAAGATGTAAACAACACTGGTCCAAAAACACTTCCTGTTTCAGTTTGTAACTGTTTTCTTTATTTCACATGTAAAGAAAACATCTTAAAGATGTTTGTTTAACTTTTTGATTCAGTTTTATATGTTCTGTTGGTTCTATTTTATCCCAGCTTTTATGTAGTGTTAAAAAAACTGAAAGAGGAAGTGCTTCTGGTCCAGTGTTGTTTACATCTTGCAAAACGGTGACAATAATTCGCCTGTGTCTATTAAATCTGTGACAAAATCACACCAGAACATTCAAATCTGTGTTGGCATTGCCGCTGACCCAGAGAGAGCAGTTATCATGTACTGTATGAAACAGCTTCAAAACACTCTTTTCATTGTTTCATTCATATTTTTTTTCTAATTAATAATAAAACATTTTTAATTGAAATAACAATAGATAAAATGTCAATTGCAGCTTTCTATTTAGCTGTCTATTCAGAATTGTGGGAGAATCGTGATCTCTATAATAATAATGAATCACTAATGAATCATTCAGGTTCAACAGATTCATTGAACGAATTCATCAGTTTGTCATTACTGGATGAGCAGAGTGGATTGCTAAAACCCATTCAAATTCAAACTGATTTGCTAATGAACTGAGACAGATTTGGGAATTGGTTCAACTGAATGATTGTACTAGAGTTTGGTGTGACTAAAATGCTCCAGTGGGCTGCCTGAGGGACGAGTGACGTACCATCTGACTCCATCTCACTGCCTGTCTCTCTGAAGCTCTTCCAGCGCTCTTTGGCCCGCGAGAGAAAGATCTCGTACAAATCTGAGAGGAACAGAAAGCAGCTCAGTTTTAATCATAAAACATTTACAAAAGCAGTAGAAATGTCTGGTCTATATGTTAGAACTTTAACTAAAACTTTAAAAGTCTAACTAGAACTTTAAAGTCCCAAGTGCAGAAATCGTTCACTTTTGGGAGTGTCAGAAAGACACTCAGCCAAATATCTTTAGGAATTTCTTTGTCATAAAGAAGGTTAGAAATCACCCCAGGCGACTTTAGCATTCATTCACGTGGATACTGCATAATGACATTCCTCAGACTGTTTGCCCAAAAGTTCTAGTTAATCCTGGGCTTAACCGCATCTTCAAAAGTGACTCTTCAATGAAATATGAAAAGACAAAGTCAAAATAAAATAAAACCTGAGGTTATGTTCAGCTCATTCCCAATGGCCAGACTCCAGACTTTACCCCTCACGTTGGGAGGAAGACCTTGCCACCACAGATCCTTCACACGCCGCAGGCCCCGCCTGAAGAAAGAGAGCCGTGAATATGGAGTAATAAAATAGTGCATTTTATATTGTATTAATTTTTCTTAATAAATATAATATAATGCCTTCAAATACTGCAGCTCTAGTTCTAGCAACCGAACGAACGTGATTATCATTGTCATAATTGTAGATGGTGATAGTCTCACATGCTCTCCCAGTTGGGAAGGATTTCATTGTTCCAAACCACCATTGCGTTAGCGATGCTTTCCTCCTGTTTAAATCTTTCCTTCATCTGCTTTTTCTTCTTCTGAGCCTCCTTCAGTTCTGTGAACAACAGTTACATTAGTATCATATTCAATTCAGTTTCCATTTCAAAATTCCATACTCAAATTTTCCAACATAATTAACATAAATGGTTCATACAGCATTATTTTCAGCATTATATTTGGTATATAGTCAGAATAGTTTTCCCAAAGTGATAATCTGTAGTAGCATCAGAATAAACCTAAAAAGCTGTATAACCTGCATATATTCAACTCACACATTGGTTTGAAACTGTAACTGTGATTTGATGTTGGACGGTCACCAAATTAAATAATTGTTTGCTCCTTTATCTGTTAATGGTTTGAGTGGCAATGGAGTAAACATTCTATTAGTGAAGTTCAACAGAGACTTGCTTATCGCCATAAGACAAACAGTTTTGCTATTCATTAATTTGTGTCCGACAATCACTACATGACCTCTAAACTTTAGAAGTTCTTAATTTTACATTTTAGAAAAGTGAATGGGGGCAATAGTCTGGAAACACAATTTATTTTCCATATACTGTTTTCTTTTTTCCATACTTATCCAGACCTGGATATTACTCAAAATCATATTCCGAAATTTTCCAAACTGCGTAGGAACCTTTGTAAATTTAAGACAGAAAAGCACAAAAGCATTCCCTGACTAAGTGAAATCACACATTTCTACATTTTATTTTTGGGAGCATTTTTGGGGAAAGATACACTAGCGTGACAATGGGTGAATCACTAGAAAACACGTTAAGGTCATATTTTACCACAAATTACAAGGATATTTTATGGTAATTAAGCACATTTCCCAGACACAGTCATTACCGTAATCCTTACAGACGTTTTATTTTAATTTTGATAATTGTGTAATTTCAATTATTGTCATAACTCTTTGTTAACTTTTTACTGTATTTAGTTTAAGGTATTTATTTATTTAAATCCCCAAATCACAGTCAAAATGTATAAAACAGTGAAATAATTCACCTTTTAATTTTGTTTTTCATTACAGCAATGAGACAAACTTCTCAAAGTAAACACCTAAAATTTGCCTAAAAAACTCCTAAAAAATTTAGGTTTTGGGATGAAATATGATGCAGGCATGCTCTTGACATGTTTCATGAGAATCAGTCATATGACTTAACATGATTACTGAAAAAAAAACTAAACAAATGAAAGTAAAATTTACTTAAAATTGCTAGCAAATAATTACATTATGAAAAAGAATTAAATATGAACATATGAAGTAGAATGACTAAAAATAGTATTTCTGTGCAAAACATACTCCAGAAATCCTTTTTTCCCACAATGTACAAAAAGTACCTCTCTTCCTCGCCTCTGCCACCATTTCATCATACTCCTGACGGTGGCGCTGGGCTTCCTCCTCCGACTTAGCAGGGAGGTTCCTGAGGAAGGAAGCCAATGATTTTAGTTGTCACAACAAAACGGACAATTAAATGTCTCAAATACACAGTCTAGAAACATGTAAACATTGACATGTTTCAGAAAAAAAATTCACTTAGAAGTTTCTGGAAAATGCCTCATCGCTGGTCATCTCATGGTTTGGCTGACACGCTCACATTTCTCTGGTCATTTATTCTTAATAAGGACTTGGGGACTGAAGAGACTTGCGTGGTGAAATACAACCCAGTCCTCTGTTGCTAAGACTTATTTATAGCCCATTGTTTTGGAAAGATGAGCCTCTCAAGCTTTGCTAGGATATATGTAACGCACGTTAATGTATCCTGAGCGCCTAACGAAAGAACGGCACAAGTTGGAAAGTGACAAAGCACCTACCTTTACTGTTCAAACCTGGATGGACCTCAAAGACTCCCACAACTTAATCTATGTCATAATATATCAACTTAATTATTGACAGTACATCTCAAGTGTATTGCGGGAAGAGAACTGTTGTTGCTTGGTTTCTCCCAAGGCTTTTTTTCTCCATTATCCAACATTAAACAGTTTGTTCTCATTACGGTTTCCTTTGGCTTGCACACTAGGGGACTACACTACATAAAATGTGTTGAAGTATTATGCCATTTAACTTCTCAATTAACTGCTTTAGGGGTGGGCGATATAATTG